AAAGAGTAAGGGTTATAATAGGAACAAACTTTTTAACATAGGAATTGATTATAATTCTACAATAAATAAATTAAATAATTAAAAAATATATTTAACTACGGTACGAATATTTTTGTTGTCCATCCATAGACCATATATATGAAAACACTTTTCACCGCCTACATGAAAAATGACTATAAACTTGATTGTTAATATAATTTATAAAAAATGTTTTTTTAAGAATATGAGAAATCACATTTGAAAATTTTAAAATATAATTCAAACTTATTTTTAAATATATTTAATTTACTTTCTAATATTTAAATATGTCAAAACAAACTTTTCTTATTTCCTGAAGAGAAATAAATACTACATTAATATAAGTTTAATAGGAAATGCAAGTGTAGAAGATTTTTTATAACCATAATTAATAAAAATAATAATAATTTTTAAGAGAATTATCATATATAAAACTAATTAAACTTACCGTACATAATAATCTATAATCAAATATAATATAAAAATATTTATATTATGAGTTTAATAAACATACATTATCAATATAAAAAAATATATACTATTACTGTAACGTAGCAAGTTGTTGTAGAAAGCTCAATATAGGTGATTTAGTAGCCCAGAACGGGCCTTTCTCAATTTGGAACGGGCCGTTCCAAGCTATTAAATTGACCTGTAAGTCGTAGTTGAGAACGAGCCGTTCTGGATGGAGAACGAACCGTTATGGTTGGAGAACGGGTCGTTCTAGATGGAGAACGGGCCATTCTAGATGGAGAACGGGTCGTTCTAGATGGAGAACAGGCCATTCCAGAGGGAGTACGGGTCGTTCTGGATGAGTACCAGAACGGACCGTTTTGATTTCAGAACGGGCTGTTCTGCATGTGGTTTTTGTACGTGTTGAGGGAGTGCAAAACGAGCCGTTCTGGTTTTGGTACAGGCCGTTCTGGCCACTCCAGAATGTCTATAAATAGGGATTGGGGGCAGTTGAGGAGAATGAGTGTTTAGAGAGAAGGACTCTGGGTCTGTGAGCTCCTTTCTCTCCCAAATTTCTCTGTATGATTCCTTTTCTCCTCTAGATCACTAACGCCTTCTGGCTTTTCTTGAAATTCAGACTAGGAAGCTTGCTTTGGGAGGATTGAAGTTTCAGGTTGAGTTTCGGAAGGGAATTCTACTTCTTCTCAGTTATTGGCTATTTTGAGCCAATCTTCAGGTGATGGAAGCTAGAATGTTTCTTAATTAAGTTGCATGTGAGTTTAGAAATTCAATTGATGCATGAAAGTTGAGGGTCCATGGTTGGATCGGAGAATTCGCTTATTTTTTTAGATTTTGGGAAAAATGGGGTTTTTGGGTGGAATTAATGCATCGGATGGGTGCATGTAGATTTTGAGTTTGTTTTTGTGTTGTATGGAGCCTATGCATTGTGTTTTTGTGTTTTCATGTGGCTGGATTTGTTGGTTTGGATGAGAGTTTCTAAACTCTCTGACTAGGATTAGGCTAGGCGCAGTTGAGCGCACCAGGCGTGGAAGAGCTTAGGGCTCTCGGGTTGGATGTTGGGCCAGACGTGATTTGGTTGCGTCAAGCGTGGATACTCTTAGGAGTCTCTGTTTCAAGGACACCAAGCGTGAGTTGAACGTGCTAGGCGTGGATGAGTCTTAGGACTCTCAGGTTGAGATTAGGTTGGGCGAGCTCATGCTACGTCGGGCGTGAATATGTTTATTGATCATAATGGTGGTAGACCATGTATGATGTATGATGCATTATTGCATGTGAAGCTTTATGACATGAGTATGATTATTGATCATGATAGTGGGTAGACCATGTATTATGCATAATTACATGTGATGTCTTATGACATGTGTATGATTGTTGATCATGATGGTGGGTAGACCATGTATGATGCATAATTACATGTGATGTCTTATGACATGTGTATGATTGTTGATCATGATGGTGGGCAGACCATGTATGATGTATGATGCATAATTGCATGTGATGCCTTATGGCATGAGTCTAGCCTAGGACTCGAGGAGAGGAAAAATATTTTCGAACTGGAAGAGCTCACATAGAGTCTCTTGAGAGTGGTGCTTGGATAGGTTACTGATATATGAGAGTGGTGCTCAGGGAGGCCACTGGATTTGGGAGAGTGGTGCTCAGATAGGTCACTGGATTGGGTGAGTCTCCTCTAAGTCCTTAGCTAGTGTTGGAGCGGGGTATGAGGTCGAGGGTTATTCCCTTAACCAAGTACTCGGGAAGGTGCGTGGATCCTTGCGGATAGTCGGTGGGCGAACTCCACAATTGACTTGGTTATGCATGCCAAGGTCGTGGTAAGCCCGTACCCAGCTGTGCTATACCTGACGGTGGATCTGGACTTCCAATTGTGTAAGTGACATCATCCGAGTAAACCCGAGTGAGGATTATATCCTGTTTAGCTGTGACCGAGCGGGCGCATTGGGCGTGAAAACGGTTGGGGTGGTTTCGGTAGGATGGAATGTCACTTATACAGCTCTATTGTTGTGGAGATCTCCTAGGTGTATGCGTGACGACGCATTAGATGATTGATATGCATTGATATCTGTCATGAAATGCATTTATTGCATGATTATTAATATGATGAAGTGTGATGTTTGACTTCATGATTGGTGAATTGTATTTTATGCATGAGTAGTATTGGATAGAGGGTATGGTGTGACTCTATGAATATGATTGATAGTTGGACAATTGTGTAGTATAGATTATTGTTCTATACTTGTATGATTGATTTATGAATTCTAGCTTACCCTTCTGTTTCCATGTGGTGGAACTGCGATGATCATACTTGGTATTGGAGCAGGTCAGGGCTAGCTTGGAGTTGAGGTGACCGCTGCGAGACGGGGAGTTTGATCCTCGCGTTAGGGTTACCATTTTGGGTAATGGTTTTGTCTGTGCTTGACC